GGCCGATGACCGGGAACCTGAGAACATGCCCCCGGCTTCTCCCCCTGGGACCACAGTCCTGCCCTCAGCACCAAAGCTGGGGCCAGGCCCTCATGCCCAGGCAGTGGGCCATGGGAGTCCGACAAGAACCAGCAGGACTGAGGGCTGCTGGGTGTGGGCCCTGGGCAAGAGTGGGAAGGCCGGACTCCAGGGGCCATTGGCTACAGACCCAACCAGTTCTTTTGGCCCCTGCCTCCCTAGGGCCCTCTCATTCTCCAACCGTCTATGGCTCCCCACTGCCAGAGTGACACCATCATTGCCTCACCAGCTTCACTTCTATCTCCCAGCTTTCCCAGTCTTGGCACGGGTTGCACCCACCGTAGGGAGCACCTTTCTCATACCCTGAAGACTCCTTTCACCTGGCAGTTCACTTGGACCCTCCAGCTCTTCTCACCTTCATTCATTCATTCATTCAACAAATGCTACTGACTACCCACTTGGTTCCAGGACCTATTATAGGCAGAGGTGACAAAGACAGAGCTGTTCCCTGCCCTGATGAGGGAGACAGACCAGAAACAAGAAGGCAGACAAGTAAGAACCATTGAGTGTGACACGAGGGAAGGGGAGATTTCAGTGTCAGAGGCAGGACAGGCCTCATTGAGTTAGGGGACATTACAACTGAGACCTGAAGGAGGAGAAGGAGCCAGGCAGGAGCAAACAGCCAGAGGAAAGGGATGCCAGGTGGAGGGAATGGCAAGTGCAAAGGCCCAGCCAGGGGAGGAAGGGGCAAGTGGATGAGAGGAACGGCGACGAAGCCAGGGTGCTGGGCACAGAGTGCGTGAGGGGTGGGAGGTCAAGGAAGATGATGTGGGCCAAGTCTCGAGGGGCCACAGGGTCTGGGCTTCTATCACAAGCACGGTGGCCGCCACTGGAGGGTTTTAGCAGGGAGAAGCTGGTCTGACTGAGGTTGTAGAAGACCACTCTGGAAGTTCTGCCTTCTCTCCCAGGTAGTCGTCCCTGAGGCTTCACACCATCTCCTCTGGGTTCGCATGGCCTCGTCACTCCACGTGATCCTCCCTGGCTCCCCACCAGATTCTGAGCTCTGTGGGCATCTGTCTGGCTCGCTGCTGAATCCCCAGTGTCTAGCATAGAGTCTGTTTCACAGTAGGTCGAAGGAATGGATATACCAAGCACATCTCAGTGAAGAGCAGGACCCAGGAGCTGGGACCTGAATGTGCCCAGTGCCAGCCCTTGAGTCCCCATTAGATCAGGTCTAGGTCAGAGGCAGGGATGGGGGCTGGTAGGGCTTCTCGGAGGAGGAGAGGGGGTGAAAACTGAATATGGAGGAGAGTGAAGAGAAGGGAACTCACTTCAATTGAGAAGCTACTGGCCCTGCAGCTCTGGACAAGCAAAAGGGGAGGCCACCCCCCCATGCCTTCTGGAGATGGTGGTTTCCCTGTCTTAGGACCCTCCATTGGGTGGGACATCCACTGGATGTCTTGGCCTCACAGACCCTGGGCTCAGACCACTCTGATCTTCCACGTCCCTGACCTTACCCCAGACCCCATCTCCTCCTGCTCAGGTCTGAACCATGATGCTCTGATGTCCCCGGCCTGTCCTTAGCCCCCTAGCCCTTGAAGCTTGTCTTCTTTCCTGTAGGTGTGGCACCTGTCCTCCTCCTCCCTAGTCCCCAGGGCTTTTCATTACCTCTTCCCTTGGCCTTAAGTTGAGGTCTCTTCCATGATAAAGTGAAGTTCACAGGAATCCACAGCAAATACTCATCTCACATCCTCCCAACCCCCACCCCCTCTCTCCCCTGCTTCTCTGCACATGCCTGGCTTCATTCTTCCCCTTCTCCACTTCACTCCGTGCCCCCAGAGGCTGACCTCTACAGACTGCTTCAATGGACGGCCTTGTCCTCTGGCTTCCAGGTGGGTTTGGCCAATAGGAGGCACTGGCAGAAGATGAAGCCAAAGGAGAGAATGGGATATTAATCCTCCTGCATCCCTTCCCATAGGGTCACCTCAGCTGGTTGTATCCCTTGACCAAAGGCCCTGTGCACATAAATCTATCCCTGGGTTCTAACCTTCTTCTTTCCCCTTGTCTGGTCAGGGGGACCAGGAGATGATAATGGCTCTCCACGGGTGCTCGCCCCTTTGGTTTCCCCAAACCCTGCCCACTGTATACGGTTCCTGTAGCAAACCTGCCTCAAATTACTCCACTTGAATGTGCCACTTATTTCCCCTAGGCCCCCAGCTGGGGTCCCCATGCTTCCCTCCTCACTCCGGCTTCCGGGTGCTCAGAACATCCAAGTCCTGTGTCCTCAGGCTCCGCTCTCAGATTCCCTCCCTCAGGATGTGTGTGGCTCAGTCCTCTCAATCTGTCAGCAGCTTGTGACACCATGGGCTGTGCCCCTCCTCGTTGACACCCCACCACCACCACCCCCGCTGCTGGGCACCACGCTTGCCTGCTTCCCCTCCTAACTCTATGGTTTCTCTGCTCGGCCTGTCCCTTAGATGTTGGGGTCCCCAAGGGCTAGTCTCCAGTCTTGTTGTCTGCTCTGTTCTGGGGTGACTTCATCCTCTCCCAGCTTCGGCATCACTCTGCTGACATCCCACACAGACACGGTCGCTTGGCCATCTTTGTCTTTAATCCACAGATGTGTCTAAGTCCTTGCCCCAGGGATTCAGACCCCTTGGACTGAACATGACTCAAACCGGCTTCTGGCCTTCCCTTCATATCTGCTCCTCACCCAGAGCCTGGATTTGGGCCTCATCCTTTATTGCCCGAAACATGCCCATCCTCCTTCCAGGCCTCCCGACCCTCAGTCTTCCCCCTCTGGTCCTTCCCCCTCACCAGCCCCCAAGTAAGATTCCAAACACACAGATCTGTCCGGAACCCTCCCCTGCTGGCCCGCATCCTGCTGGGAATCAAGCTCCCCGCCTGATGTTTGAAGTCCTTTGCAATCCCACGTCTTCCCATCCCAAAAGTTCCCCCCAGTCTCGCGGAACACAATCAGCCGTGCGTGGAGGCTTGTGTGGGTTGGAGCACGTCCTTGTAGGGTTTAGTTCCAAGGCTGCCTCCTCCAGGGAGCCTTCCCTCCCACTCCTCAAGTAAGCGCCCTGTTCCTTATTCCCCTTGAGCCCGGCTCCGTCTCCCCCGCCCCTCTGGTGCGCGGCCAAAGGCTTAGAGCTGGTAGTAGGGACAGATGAACGAGTGAATGACCGGAATGAATGAATGAATGAATGGAATGAATGAATGAGTGGTGAAAGGTGATTCGGAGGCAGGAGCTCAGAGCAGGGAGAGGGAGCTGCCGGGCCTGGGAGGGGCCTCAGCCGAAGCCGCCCCCACTCCGAGCCCTCCAGGTCCCATCTCCCGCTCAAAGAGTTGCGCGCGCCGAGCCCCTCGGCCGGGAGAAAGGCGCGCCCGGATTGGCTCAGGCTGGGAGAGGCGGGCTTCGGCCGAGCCACGAGCCTCTATTGGCGCACTAGCCAGGACTCTGTCCAATCACCGCGATTAATTACCCCCCCCCCCCAGACGCTGACTCCCTCCAGCCTGCGGCAGAGGCGGAAGACGGCGCCTTCTAGTTGCCTGGCAACCGTCAGCGGACCCGTCGCCCCGGCAACTGTCCGAGGCCTCCCGTCAGCCTTCCCTGGGCCCCTTCAATCACCCAGACAACCGCTACCCGTTCCGGTCAACCATCAGCCCTTTCCCCGTCACCCTGGCAACCGTCGCCAGACCCACCGCCCCCTGGACGCACCGCCCTCGTCCTGCCCGCAGGCCTCCTCGCCCCAGGCTCCGAGATGGCGGGGTCCCCTTCCCCTCCGGCCCATCTCATCGACCCTAGGGGGACACTGCTCCTACCCTGGCAGGGGTGGTGGGGGGCTTCCCGGGGTGGGTCGGGCGCTGGGGGTCCCGGCTCCCGTGGGGCCTAACGGGCCGCCCCGTGCTGAGGCTGTGCATAGCCCCCCGCCTGTCTCCCCGCTCGCTCTCTCGCGTGGGACTGTCCAGCCACAACAGGGAGCTTTTCAAAATGCAAGCCATGTCCCTCCCCTGCTGAAAACCCTCCCCTGGCTCCCCTTGGGAATCGAATCCAAACTCCGCACAGCCCCTGGCGGTCTGACTGTGTGGCCTCTTCTCCTTCTCCTCCCTCACTCTGCCCGAGCAGCCGCTAGTCCCCACATTGTTACCCCAGGAGCCTAAGCTTATTTCTGCCTCCGACCGAAGTGCGTCCCCCAGCTAGGGAAGCCTTTCCCGAGCCATCATACACTCATATAGCCCTCCATGCCTGTTCTCTGCTAACTCCACAAGGGCCTAGATCAGTGCCTGACACACATGATGAGTTGAAGGATGTTCTGCTGGGGACAAGAGAGGACAGAGGGGGATGACTAGCAGGCTGGCCCACCCCAGGAATAAGAGAATGTATTTCTGAGGTTGCAGGGCCCCAGAGAGATTCATCATGCAGCAGGTCATGACACTGTCCCCCAAGGCCAGGCAAAGGCTGGGGAGATAGAAGTGCTGTCACCAGCCAGGGGCTGGATGGTTCACCCTCTACTTGTACCACCCTCATCTGGAGGCTGGAGCCAAAGGACCCCAGAAAGAATCAGCAGAAACTATGGTTCATTTGGAGAAATTCCAGGAGCTGGAGAGGCAGGCCTCAGACCTCAGATGATCATTCAGGGAGCTGGTCCCTTCCTGGGCCAGTCCAGAATCTCACACATCCATCCTACTGGAGCCTAGAGCTGTTTTTCCATGGATGGGAGATAGGGGCCCCAGGGATCTTTCCCAGGCTGCAGCAAGAGAACTTGAGCTTAAAAGGCCTGGAGTCAAGACTGGAGGGAAGATTGTGGGAGCTGCTCAGGGCCCGAACAGACAGGAGTCTAGACACCCAGCTGCTTGCACATGAGGGTCCTCCCTTGGGGAGCTGGTCGGGAGCCAGGTGTGGATGCCCCTATCCTAGGAGTACCCTTCTCAGCACTGTCCAGTTGAATGCTTTATACTGCTGTGGCAATTGAGCCCTTGAAGTATGGCCAGAGTGACTGAGGAACTGAATTTTTAATTGATTTTCTTCTCATTACTTTGCACGTAAATTGAAGCAGCCCGATGTGGCTGCCGGTACCCTATTGGACACAGCAGCATTTAGCTGAAGACTCGGATTGCAGAGGAAAGCCAGGGACAGGAAGGTCAGAGTCTGTGGTTGGTGCTGCTCTGGGGTGTGACATTGGCAAGAAGAGTAAGGCCCCAGGGGAGGGGAGAGGTAGGACACTCTGAATCTAGCTCCACAGAGCTGTACCTGGCTCTCGAGGATTGAAGTGCTTGTTCACCCACCCACCCACACACACGCACACCTGTGTGTGAGCCTATGGGCTGGTGCGCCTGAGGGCACCCACAGACTCCCTTCTGTGCAGCCTGGAGTTCCGCGCCCGTGCAAGATCCGGGAGTCCATCCTTGTACGTACGCCGTGCGGCCTCCCAGGTGCACACAGGCCAGCGAGCGAGGGCCGCTAGTCCAGCAGGTCTTGCAAGAAGGCCCACATGTACTCGTGCATCTCCCTGGGGTTGCTCTGTGGGATCCAGTGCCCCACGCCCGGCAGGATGTGGGCCTCCAGCCGGCCCGGCACAAAGCGACTGCTGATGGCTTCCACCAGCCCCTGCTCGAAGTAGGTGTCCTTCGCTCCCCACAACAGGAGTGTGGGTGTGGCCAGCTCCTGGGGCTCCAGGGGGAAGTTCCTATGGCCAAGACAGAGACAGACAGAAGAATCACTGCCCCAAATCCCTGCCCCCACAAGTCTCCTGAGCTTTCGGCCCTGGGTCTGGTCTCACCTGAAGAGGTTTCGGTAATAGTTGATGGGCCCAGTGAGACCACCAGGCTGTGAGAAGTCATAAAGGAAGGCCTCGAGCTCGTTGGGGGTTAAGTGTGGGATGCCTCTCTTGCGGTGTGTGAGGGTGGTCTTCAGGATCTGGGTACACAACAGGACTGTGGCTTCAGTGCCCAGGCTGCCCAGGCCCAACCCACTACCCTCCACCTACCACCAGCCTTTGCCTCACTGCACCTGGAAGTCAGACATGGACAGTAATTTCTCAGGCAGCCAGGGAAGCTGGAACAGGAAAATGTAGTTGGAACGGAAGAACTGGCCGATGTGACGTATAGAGTAGTCTGGCGGCAGGGGAAAGGCAGATGTGAGGCCTGGGCCTGGGGTGGCCCCACATCCCTGTACCCCTATAGGCACCCGGATGCTCCAACACTCAGGAATGTCATCGCTGTCTGCCTGAGCCCGTGAGGACACTCGTCACTCCTCCTGGCCCGGGTACCATCTTCCCTCCCTGCCGAGTCGTCACTGTACCCAACAGAATGGGGGCACCTCTCTCCGCAGCTCCCAGGAGCCCCCAAGAGCCACTGGTGTGATTCCCCTGCCCAGGCCTGGATGCATTTCAATATTTACTGAGCACCTACTGGATGCCAGGACCTGTTTAAAACCCTGGAGACACAGCAGTAAATGGAACAGCCAAAACTCCCTTGCCCCTGGGGAGCTGACAGTCTAGACACAGAGAGAGACGAGAAAAAACAGCAAAGAGGGAGGGAGAGAGAGAAAAAAGATAAGAGAGGCCATATCACTGTGTCATTCGACTATGATACTGGGAATTAGAATCAGGTGAGGTGACAGGCATCTCATGCTATTGTAGTTGCTTAGTTATCTATACCTTTCTTGCCAGAAGAAAGGCATTTAACCCCTCTTGCCTCAGTTTCCCCCAACTGGACCACAAAGATAATAACACTTTCATATGCTCGGGAGGCTTGTGTAGGTTATTGTATGCAAGCTCCTTGTCAGAGCAATGGTTACCTGTAGGTGCTCAAAACATGTGAGTCACTCCTAAGTGTACTGTCATTGACTGTAGACTGGGTGTGTCATGTGTGTCCCCAGCCCCTCGAGTGTTGACTGGTGGACAGGGAAGCGTAGACACAGACACATGCTCCTTCACACAGGCCTATCCCAGCACCCTGGACTCCCCAACACACCTTGGTACACAGACATGGGGGCAGCGCTGACAATTACCATCCGCTCGACCAGGGATGGGTAGTAGATGGAGAAATTCCAGGCGAGGAGCGCACCCCAGTCATGGGCTACCAGGATACACTTGGAATAACCTGGGCGGGGGCGGGGGGGAGGGGCAGAGGAACAGGTGTAAGTGAGATGCCAGGGAGAGGTGAGGCAGGGTGAGCGAGGCCAGGCCTGGGATGGGGGTATCCCCACCCAGGCCCAGGATGACATCCTGGATGTCCATCATCAGCAGGTCCATGGTGTAACAGTCTACATCCTGAGGGGCGTTTGAGGAGCCATATCCCCGTAGGTCCACAGCCACCACGTGGAAGCGGCTCTGGAACTCCCAAAGCTGGTAGCGCCAGGAGAACCTGTCAGGCGGGTGGGGAGGGAGGCTGTCAGGGTCCCCAGGCTGCACCTCCACCCTATGCCCAGCAGGGGCCTTCCCCGGCCCCACCTTCCTGCCCTGGGCTTCCCAGAAAGGAAGATGGGGGAACCCCAGGCTGAGGGCAAGGTCAGCTGTGCTCTGGATCCAAGACCTCTTTGTCCCATATCCCTTCAGGGCCTCCTCCTGTAGACAGCACCCCTGTCCTCTAGCACCCCATCTGGATGCTTTGTGCCCCCAGTCTACCCAGCCCGCGTGCCTGCCTCCTGGATGCCCTGGCGGTCCGAGCTCCACCTCCAGCTTCACCTCCAGCCTTGTGTGCCCCAGGACCCTGGGCTTCAGACCTACCAGTTCTCTGGGAAGCCGTGCAGAAACAGCATGAGGGGCCCATTGCCACGTCCGGCGGAGACATAGTGCAGGCGCAGGCCCGAGCTCTGGGGGAGGGCACAGTCCGAGACCTGGGGCACCCATCCTCGCTAGGCTTGAACACCCCAGCCACGTGCAGACCCAGATTTGGATTCAACCATTTGCTGTCTGCACACCCCGCCCGCCCCAGCCCTACAGGGCCCGACCTCCCGGGCTGCTCGACACCCCCCACCCCCACCAAGCCCCGACGGCCACACACCCCTCCCCCCTGCCCCGGGGCGCGCGCGCGCTCACCTTCAGGGTCAGGAAGCAGTGTTCGCCCAGGGTGGGGTCGCTCAGACAGGCGGGTGGGGTGCTCCGGGGGCGCCCGCAGCAGCCGCGCCGGGGCCGGCACAGCACGTGTGTGAACGCGATGCAGCCATAGACGGCGGCGGCCACCAGCGCGGCGGAGAACACGAGGCTCCACATGAAGGCGCGCAGCAGCTTCAGAGTGAGGCGCGACGGCGCCAGTAGCGCTGTCACCACCAGCTCGGGCATGTCGCCGCGACCCGGGACGACTTCGGCGCTGCCTTTGGGGGTGTGGGCGGGGGGCTCAGGCAGCCGCACCGAGGCGGGACCCGGGCTGGGGAGCCCACCGCCTTTGGTCCGGGGCCCCTCCGTGCCTTCGAGGCTTGAGGAACGCTCCGAGAGAAGAGGCGGGAGGCTTAGACCGAAACCGCCACTGCAGACGACTCACCTAAGTACCAGGTAAATACCTGGGCGCGACGGCGACAGCGAACAGGAAGGGGTGAGGGGATGGAGCCTGTGAGGACCGGGCTTCGGTGCCTGGGGAGGAGCCTTGGGGAGAAGGGATGCGAATTGCGGGCGGGGCCTAGGCAGGCTTGGGCGGGGCTTAATAAGGGGCGGGGTCTAGTAGGACTCCCGCCCGCGGTGGGTAGGGATCTGAAGTGTAGGGGGAGACTGATATGTGTACCAACGTGGGGGGCGGAGGGGTACCTGGGCGAAATGGGCGGAGCCTGAAGCGAAGGGGCGGAGCAATGCAGGTTAGGTGCGGCCTATGAGCCAGAAACTTAGACCCAACTTGGCCTAGAGGCGTTGCAGGACCGGGGCGTGGCTTAAAGGGTGGGCGGGGAGAGGGTGGAGCCCAGGTGGGGCCGGGCCTGAAGTTGGGCGGGAGAAGGTCCTAAGGCTGGCCGGGAGGGTTTGGGTGCGAGGGCTGGGCCAATAAGCTGGGGATCGGCCTGTGTCCGGGCCAATGAGACGGGGCGGCGGGGCCGGAACCTAATATGGCGGGGAGGGCGGGCCCGGAAGCGGAAGGAGGGGGACAGGTAGTGCTTTGGCTGGGACTAGGAGGGAGTGGCGGGCGGTCGCCGCAAGGCGAGGGGGGGAGGGGGGGGGGGGGGGGCGGTCGCCGCAAGCCGAGGAGGCCTGGGGGCGGGGGGGCCCTGCCGCCGCCCTCCGAGAGCTCCCCTTCCTGGAGCGCGCGACCCTGTCCTTGGCCTGGCTGGGAGAGACCTAGCAGCACCCTCACCCAGGCCTGGTTCTAACGGCGGGTCCAATGGCCTCGACCCCGCGCGGGCCTCGTTAGTCCAGCGGGCCCATCGTCGGCCCGCCCCTACACGGCTGTGATTGGAGGGCGGTGGTTATTTACGTGCTGGCGACAGGTCTCGCCCGGCAGCCAATCGGCGAGTGTTGAGGCCCGGGGCTCCGCCGGTGCCGACCAATGAAGACCGGGAGACTCTTGTACTTCTAGAAGGCAGGCCCGGCCCGGGAGCTGGAGGACGGGGCCCGTTGAGCCACTGGAGCTCTGTCTGAGAGAGGAAGTGGGGCAAGGTCGGGCGAGAGGCCCGACCCGGCCAGCTTCCTCCTCCTGTTTTGCAACCTTCCCCGAAGATCCTGAACGTTTCAGGGTCACTCACCGTTTAACCCGTATAACACCCCCATTAAGTGTAGGTACTATTATCACATCCCTGTATTACAGACCACGAACCCGAAATTCGGGGATTAAGTCATTTGCCTAAAGCTACACAGCTTGCTGAACAGGACTTACAGAAAAAAGCAACAATCTTGGGCTCCACCTCTCCTTCCGCCCGGAGGCGGCCATCGGAATGCTTTTAGCTTTCTTCTGGTGGTTATCCAGGTATCTCGCAACGCGCTCGTGTGGCTATTTCCTGATGACCAATTGGGGGCATTAAGTATTGCATGGACTGTCATCACCATTGGACAGGCCCTACCCGTTTTTAGTGTTCCTGTTGGTTTCCTTTAAGCACTCCATTGTTTTCGTCATCTCCCATTGCTAATCTTACCTTTGTATTGTTCCGGCTGCTAAACATTACACTGTCCTGGGACCATAATTAAGTCTGTGGGTTCCTAGTAAAGGGGAATGGTGGTTTATGTGGTTCCGCCTCAGTAAACAATGTATATCTCAGCGTCGGGTAGATGGCTATGATTACACGACCAGCATTGTACTAAGGTTTGTTCTCCCTGTACTTAGTACCTTTCTTTTCTTGCACGATTAGCCTGTATCATAGCTTTGGTTTCGTTTACACTTTCCATCAAATCAGTTTTCCAACCACTGGATGATCGCGGTATCCCTCCCAAGTCCTCTAATCTGGCTGCGTGGCTACTGAGTGTCTGGGGATCTCCCTTCTTCCTCTGCTACACAAAACTGACTCTCACCATCCCCCTCCCCCCAGCTCTACCCTCAAACAAAAAGCGGCAGTCACAGGATGGTAATTTTATGTTCAGTACAAATGTTTATTTTTGCAATGAGAACTGCACAAAAAAAAAAAAAAACTTTAGTATATAAGTGAAAAGTCTACGAATTCCCTTCTACAAATGTCTAAAGTGTTTAATACAAGTCTCAGATTCACTGACATAATTATTGGCCAAGCGATCCGTGCATACAGTACAGTGGGGGCTTGTACACACCTCTTACTCTTGTATAGGACTAAGATTTCTAGTACTGTGGGAGGGAGTGGGAAATGGCCAGAGAAATTAAATAGTAGATCCAAGTTCTAATTACAACCCAGTTAGAGAAACACCCATCAGGAAGGTGTGGAGAGGGCCATGGCAGAGCTAAATCTTTAGAAGGTGCAGACAAAAACCATTTCTCCAGCTAAACAGTCGGACCTGGCCTGGGGAAGTTACCGAACAAAACACGGAACAGAAATGAGGGGGCGGGACAAGATGGAAGAAACCCCAAAGAACCAAAATATAAGTCCCACTTGAACCAGCACAGTGGCACATGAGGAAGTGCCTGCTGGGGCGTGGGGGCAGGGGCAGGGAGGCATCTGGGGGCCTCTGGCTGGATGCCTGAACTACACCCTTGCCAGGTTTCCCAGATCCCAAACACAAGATGATACAAGGGCTTTTCTGGTTGAAAAACAAAGGGGAGTAAGGGTTAATAAACAGTGCTAGAAATGTTTCAGTTTGTGTCTGTGCGCACATAAATGACACTTTCATCTTACATCCTAGGGACCACTCTTGAGTGCCGCCCTTACCTTGTGGCACGCTGGTGGGCACACGGGCAGCCACATGGCGGGCTCTCTTGGAAGGGAATGTGTGGGTGCGTGTCTACAGGCGTGGGAGGTGAGGATCCTGGTTGGGGGGGGGCGGTGTACACTTATCTAAGAACATCTGGTTAACCCTGAGCTTAAATGAAAGGAGTAGTTAAGGTAGAGGCAGGCGAGGTGGGAGAAGCGGCCCAAGTCCTCTGGTGAGTGGGGGACCAGGATGAAGAAGGGCGAGGGGGAAGAATACTGTCTGGAGTTTGGCCAGGTTCTGCTGGAGCACATCACCCACCTAGAAGGCCAGGGTCCACAGGAAGAATGGGTACCTGGGCTCCCTGTCACAGCTTCAGCTTGGTCATGGAAGATGGGCAAGGTGGCCCCTGATGGTAGTTCTTGTACAAAGGTGGTTGGGGATCCCGGGGGGCCCCCTGGGCCTAGCCTAGGCAACAGGTGGTTCACAAAGAAATGTCAGGAAGACGCCAGCATTAAAAAAGAGAGATGTGTTTATTCCATGATCAGTACAGACCAAATGCATATTCACCGTATGAAAGTCAAACCAGTCAGTGACTCCAGAGTTTGGCCAACACTGAGGCACCAGCGTCGTGGTGTAGAGTGGGATCTCATGGCACACGTAACCTCACCAAGGGCTCCAATTATAAAATTAAAAAAAAGGGGGGGGTGGGGGAAGGGGCAGCCGGCTGGTCAGGCTGGGTGGGGAGCCTCTCCCTCAGGGGTCTGTGGCCCCCCAGCCCCCGGTGCCTGCCTCATCCCCTGGCCCTTCCTTTCCTGGTTAAAAAAAAAAAAAAACACACAGATCTGACATTAAAAACAAACGGGGGTGGGGAGGGAAAAGAAAACATGGCTTTATAATTAAAAACTGACTAATAAAGTTTGAAACTGAGTAAAATATAGGCAGTTTTTTTTGTGTTTTGTGTGTTTTGTTTTTTGTGGGTTTTTTTTTTTTTTTGAGTTTTTTTACACCAGTTTGGTGGAGTCACCAACAAACTTCAAACAAAGATATGCCAACTATGTTCACTACACAGTACAGCCACGGTCACACACTACCCACAGCGCGGTGGCAGCCGCCGCTCAATGAGGAGACGATCACACCATTTCGGAGATAAGCAGTGCCATTGTGTCTGGAGGAGAAGAGAGAATTAAAAATAAAATAGAATCCAACAAAAAATATATATATAGAAAAAAAAAAAAAAAAACAACCCAGAAACACAGGTGGGAAGGAACTGACTTTGGTTGGTGGCCTCACTCACTGGGCGAGGCCGGCCCACACACGCGCGTGTGACAGTCACCTTGCTCCAAATTGCCATGGACACACACACACCTCCACGGCACTATTCCCTTTTGCACAAGCGAACACTTACAGAGAGCGGCTCTCGATTAAAGGCTTGTGGGGGGAGGGGAGGGGTGGGGTCTGTTCAAGGCAAAGTCAGTGCCAGCAAGGGGGTGGGCCGGCGCCCTCGCCCGCCTCCAGCTCGCTCGGGCCTGCCCTGGCCTCCTGGGAGCGGGCGGTAGTGGCTGGGGTGTGGGGGAAGGACTCCTGGTGGGCAGGACGTCACGAACGTCACGTTCTCGGGGACAGAAAACCAGTCACGGTGGCGGCAGCAACAATGTCCTGTGTATACTGTGTAGACATTTGGCGGAGAGCAGGACCTCTGCCCCGCACGCGGGGACGCGCGGCTTGGATCTGGCCGGCACTTGCTCGTGGAGAGGCGTGCTCTGAGCCGACGTCCTGTGAGGGGGTGGTGGGTGGCGGGACGTCCGGCTGGCTGTAAGGCAGACAGGCTCTGCGATCCTCAGCTGCCCGTCAGGCCTGCCCCGGGCACAGCATGCAGGAGGGCCAGGCCCGGAGCCACCCCCTTGCCGCTGCTACCGCCTCCACTGCCGCCCCTAACACTATGGAGAGTCAACGTTTCGCCAGAAAATCAAAGAAGTCACCTAGGTGCTCTCAGAAAAGATTTTCTTCAAATATTGACAATAGATCACTCTGGAAATTCATGTCAATGGTAGCTGCCATCTGGAGGGGAGAGGAGGGAGGGGGGGAGGGAGGGAGTGAGACTAGGTGCCCTACCCTTACTGCAGCTTCCAAGCTCCCCCACCCCCAACCCCAGCACTGGCCAGGCCCTCGGGGCCCACACCCAGGAACCTCCCAACACCGACTGTGTGAGCCCGAGCCACCTGTGAGAGCCCGAGGCCAGCACAGTGCAGGCCAGCGGGAGCCCCCCCGCTCACCCCGCCTCTGAGAGAGTGACTGCCTTCACCCCGAGGTTCCCGGTCCCCTTTCCAAGCCCCTCCAACGCTGGACCCCCACCCAGAGGTCCCCGACTCACCGCCTCCCGGCGCCTCCGCTCCTGCTCCCGCTTTCGGGCCAACTCCCTCTGCTGGTCCAGCATGGACTGGGGCTGGGAGCTCTGGGCCTGGGGGGCGGCGGCAGCAGCCACGGCGGCGGCCTGCTGCTGCTGCTGCTGCTGCTGCTCCTGCCGCTGCTGCTGCTGCTGCTCCTGGCGCCGCCGCGCCTCCTCGTGGGCCCGCCGGGCCTGCTCCAGCGCGTCCTCATCCTCTCGGCTCCTGGGCGCGGCAGAGCAGGGTAGAGCTGCCGGTCAGCACAGGGGGCGGGGGGGCGGCCCCGGGGGCCCCAGGCTGCCCGCGACCCCAGCCCACCTCATGCGCTCCTGCCGAAGCCGCTCCTTCTCCTTCTCGGCGTGCTCGGCCTGCGCCTTCAGGGCCTTCTCGCGCTCCTCCTTCTCCCTGGCTGCGCGGCGGAACTGCTCGAAGCTGTCGCTCGAGGACTTGGCTGTGGAGGACGGGGTGGTGGGATGCTTCTGCACCAAGCTAGCCCAAGAGCCCATGTTCTTGATTTTCAAGTCCTGCCAGGCAGAGAAACCACAGGGTGGGTGGGGAGTTGGGCTGCACCGAGAAGCCCACAGCCTAAGGGCACCCCCCACCCCGCCCCCAAGGTGCCTCCCTGGCATGGGGACACTTGTGGACTCACTGTTCCTACCTTTTTGGGTGCAACTGGCGTCTTCGGCTCTTGTTTCTGTTTGTCCTTGTCGGGGGCCCCTGGTGGGGGTGCGTTCTGCTCAGGGGGCCGGATCACAGGCCTCCCGACGTCCACAGGCTTCATCTCAGGCCCTGGAACACAAACCGCTGTGGGCCCGGGCCGGGGCCCATTCCCCCCTGCCAAGCCCAGCAGGGCGGAGTCAACCAGCCCACAGAAAGCTCCCGTCCAGTGCACTGAGGGCACTCACGTTGGGGCAGGTGAACGGGTGCCTTGATGCTCTCTGGGTGTTTAGGGGGTTCTGGCCGCAGTGAGGGGCTGAAAGGCTCGCTGCGAATGATGGGTGAGTGGATCTTCTCCTCCTTCACCACCACCAGGGGCTGGGGCTGGACCACAGAGGCCGCACGCAGCTCCTGGGACGGCACAGGCACAGTGGCCGGTGAGGCAGGTGGGTGCCTCTGGCACCGGCCCGCACCTGGCCCTGGGGGCTGTGGCCCAGCCCTGCCCTTTACCTGCTTCTTAGGCTGAACGTTTTGCTGGGGTGGTGACTGGTGGGTTAGGCTCTGGAACGGTGGCATCTGGGGGGAATGTATCATAAGCGGGGAGGGGGCTTCGCGGAGGTGACCTAGGAGAGGGGACAAGGAGCATGTCAGCAGAACTCGTGTGGACACCACTGGCCTGGGCCCAGCCAGGTGACCCTCTAAGCTGGGGGGAGACCCACACTGGCTGAGCCCCAAGCACATCAGGCCCCTAGCTCAGTGTACAGCAGGGCTTCATGGAGCCATGAGCTCAGTCCCAGCGTCTGATGCCCCTGTGTGTCAGAATCATCGGGAATCTTTGAGAAGAGCAGATCCTGACATAGTTGATCACAGGTAAGGTCTGGGCCTGAGTACTTTTTAAAAGTTCTCCAAATGGCTCCACGGCATAGCCTAGGTTAAATATAACGGACATCAACAGGACGCCTGGGTGGCTCAGTGGGTTAGGCATCTACCTTCGGCTCAGGTCATGAGCTCAGGGTCCTGATACCCTTTTTTTTTTTTTTTTTAAAGATTTTGTTTATTTATTTGACAGACAGAGAGAGCACAAAGCAGGGGGAGTGGCAGGCAGAGGGAGAAGCAGGCTCCCTGATGAGCAAGGAGCCCGATGTAGGACTCGATCCCAGGACCCAGATCATGACCTGACCCAAAGGCAGAAGCCCAACCCAGTGAGCCACCCAGGTGTCCCATAAAAAAATAAACTTTAAAAAAAAAAAAGGGACATCAATAACCTTACAACCTTACAGAACAGACAGCCTGAGCTCCCAGCTGTCCCTATATATGGCTTAACCTGCCTGCATGGATGAATGCTTTGGGACTAGGACCGGATCCCCAGGAGCCCCTCCCCACACAACTCAGCCTGCAAGCCCCACACAAGGGGGATGCTGGAACTACCCTGCACCACGGCAGAGTTGGTAGAACACGTTCTCAGCTTGTGGTTCTTACAGGAATTGGGCCAGCCCACCCACCTTCCTCAAACCAAAGGCGGGTGGGTGGGAGAGTGGAGATTCAGGCAGCCACAAGGTCCAAGTACCTGGCACAAGGCAGGAGCCTGTAAAGCGCCATCAAAGCACTTAAGTCTGACAGCTCAGCTTCACTGGTGAGAAAACAGCTTTAGGTCACAGTCACCAAGTTCTGCCTTTGACTCCTCTACCTACTCTAGCATGGAAACACCCTCCTGCTTGAATCCCTGACATGTCTTGGCCAGCTCCAGCATGGGACAAGCCACACTTGTCCAAAAAACAAAGCCACCTCTCTGCAGTACACTTGCTCCTGGTCCTGCCTTGTGCCTCACAATGAATATCCTAACCCAAGCTCTGCATACAGGCCCTTCCACTGACCTCCCCCAGGCCAGATTCCAGCTGCCATCTGCCAGCAGAGATACCAACACCTCTGGCCCTCCACCAGCCCCCTGGGCCCAGCACAGACCACAATGCCTCATGTATGGTTGGACCCTCCCTGCCCATCTCTCTGAAGCCAGAACTTGCTCCTAAACCCCAGAGAGGCAGAACAGCTGCTCAGAGACATCATGGTGGTGAAGGCCAGCCCACACCTGCACCTTGGTCCCCAGCCCCATGTGGCTGGTTTCACCAGCCTTGGTGTTGGGGGCCCCAGTCCAGGCCTAGGGATCTGCAGGCACACGACTGTGACAGTCTCTCATCTGGGATGGCTCCCTCACCAGCACCTGCCGAGGCTTGACCTGGGTGGTGGCAGGCAGATGCTTGGATCTATGATTTGTAGGTATCACCTGCCTGCCATGGCTTCATCCACCAGCAGCTGGAGGGGAGGCCCAGGGGCTCAGGGGTAGTGCCTGCAAGCTGGCCAGGTGCCCTGCCCAGGGATGCACCTCCTTGGGACTCCAACTTGGCCTCTGGCCCGAAGTCCCCAGCTGCACTCCAACCCACGTTGCTCCCTGTGACCCACCCCAGGCCAGGTGCTCAGGGGAGGTGGGCCTGGGGACTCAGAGCATAGGATGTCAGAGGGAACTTGCCCACTGCAAGAACTAGCTCTACTGAAGGCATCTCATCTCCTGCTCATCACTGCCCCACACAGGGAAGCCTGGCCTTCCTTAAGGGTGAAAACAGGCACAGCCGCACAGCTGCGGGGACCAGGACCAGCACCAGCCTTTCGCAGGGAGGACAGCCGGCTGTTCTTGGCTCAGGGAGTCCAACCATCACCTGGCACCTGGCAGCTTTTGTAGGTGTCGGAGCAGTCGCAGCCTAAGCTCAACAGCCTTGCTGTTCAATCTGCAGGCGGCACCTGGACTCCCTAGCCAGGCTACGTGGTCTGCACTGCCAAGTCCAGGGGCCTTAACCCTGACCCTCACATGTCACCACGCCATGAGGCACTGCCTGGAACAATTCTCTTGCCGAGGCCGGCCAGCACATTTTGGTCACAGACACTTAGAAAACAAGTGCCAGGAAAAGTGAGAGGGCGTGGCCTGATCAACACTGTCGACAGAAAAAGGACAGCCTGGATCAGTGTGGAGATAGGAAGGAGGAACAGGAAACGGCTGCCGGGTACAGCGTTAGCCCAATTCTCTCCCACGAGGTCCTGACTCCCACCAGGTGAGCCTCGCTGAGAGCAGAGCACCTATTCCTACAGGTTCCCAAACAGCCCCCTGCTGCCCAGGCCTGCCCCTAGCTCTGCCTGGACCTCACTCCCCACTGTTAAATCAGCTCTGGCTCACCCTCTGATCACCTCCTTCAGGAAGCCTGCCCTGACTTCCAGAAATGGATCAGGTGCCTCCCTGGGGTCCTGGCTTCCCCACCTAGCAGGATCACGATGTACTGTAATGCTCTTAACTGTGAGTTCCAAGAGAAGGGCCAGTGGGGACCTTGTTCCCAGTCATCGGGTTGCAAGCCAAGACAGACCCCAGGTAAAAACGCTATATGAAGCACCAACGCCCCCTCTCAACCACCTCTGCAACCAGCCCAGAGCCTTTACAGTGGGGCTCTGAGCCCACCCCAGCCTGAAGCATGAGCTGACCGACCAGTCTGGCTTCTCAAAGACAAACTTCTGGGCCCAGCACCAGCCTACCCAGAGCCCAGGGGCAAAAGCCAACTTACCAGTTGAATAGGGGTCCGACTTGTGGTGCCGGGGTGAAGGGTGATGCTGGATGACCTGCTGAGGCTTGGCGGGCTGTGGTGGCGGCGGCTGCTGGCCGGGG